ATATTTTTCTTCCATAATATATTGCACTTTGAAACTAAGTAACGACAACAATAGTGTTAATATAATGTAGTTATTGAGGTACATTCCTATTATTAATTAACTCTTTGACATGCAGATGATAATAAAAAGACGAGACTGGTGCTGATCTTGGTCATATCTTTAGTTTGTGGAATGCTCATCCTTGGCTTCTTGATCTCAAGTCTCATCAAGAAAAGAGAATTGAAAAGAGGTGTGTGAACTTTTGCCAATCTTATTGAATTAAGTTAACTGGTTTTCCTCTCATCATTATCCTACTAATTGCTGACAGCGTTTGATATCGATGTGAAAGATATAGAGCTGCCAATGTTTGATCTGACTACAGTTACTAATGCAACTGAGAACTTCTCATTAACAAATATGCTTGGAGAAGGTGGTTTTGGAATCGTGTACAAGGTAAGAAAGTCTTAAGTTTTGAATGATTTGGTGGTTGTTGATAGTGAGCAGTGACGGACCCTTTGAACAATGTACAGGGTACATTAACAAGCGGGCAAGAAATTGCAGTGAAAAGACTCTCAAAGAATTCTGGACAAGGTCTTCAAGAGTTTAGGTGTGAAGTAAATCTGATTGCGAAACTTCAACACCGGAATCTTGTCAGGCTCTTGGGATGTTGCCTTGAAGGAGATGAAAGGATGCTAATTTACGAATATATGCCCAACAAAAGCTTGGACCATTTCATTTTCGGTGAAGCTACCTCTCTTCAATTAATGTGATTTGTATTTAAAATTCATATTTATTATACATATGCATTTAACATGGACTTTGTTTAATGAATATGTTGCAGATCAGCATAGAAAAACATTGATTACATGGAGAAAGCACTTTGAGATTGTTATGGGCATATCGAGAGGACTTCTTTACCTTCACCAAGACTCTACATTGAGAATCATTCACAGAGATCTTAAGAGTAGCAACATTTTACTAGATAATAACTTGAATCCCAAAATTTCTGATTTCGGCCTCGCAAGAATTTTTGGTGGAGATCAAACTGAAAGCAAAACAAAGAGAGTAGTTGGAACACAGTAAGTTCTATATTAACTCCTCTTCTGAGAATTGAAATACAGATGTATTATGTCTGGAACCTAATTTGAGGTTCATGCAGTGGCTATATGTCGCCTGAATACGTTGTTGACGGGAAATTTTCAGTGAAATCCGACGTCTTCAGTTTTGGAGTGCTTTTACTAGAGATAGTGAGTGGCAGAAAGAATTGGAAATTTCACCATTCCGACCATCATCATAATCTTGTAGGCCATGTAAGTCATATAATGCAGAACTTTTCTCTGCTCCTTATCCAACCTTTCCACTCGATGATTAATTGCATCTAGTTATATTTCAGGCATGGAAATTGTGGAATGAAGGCAGGGCATTGGAAGTAGCAAATGACATTGCTGAGCTATTGTTGGTTGAATCTGAAGTGCTTAGATGTATTCAGGTGGCCTTACTGTGTGTTCAAAAACTACCACAAGACAGGCCAACAATGGCATCAGTAGTCGTCATGTTGAGCAACGAGAGCGTGACATTACCACAACCTAAAGAGCCTGGTTTTTTTGTGGAAAGAAGTTGTGACGAAACAGACACATTACCATTCGAGGAAACATGCCTCACTCAAAACGGGGTGACAATATCAGTGCTGGAAGCAAGATAAATGATATATGTACACGTTGCCTTGTAAATGGTGAGTTGCCTATGATCTCATCTTCTTGTTTACTAATTAAAACTATTTGTAAATCCAGGCATACAATATTTGAAAATATGCCATGTCAGTGCTGTTAAATTATGTTTTCAGCCCCGACCAAGCTTAAAAACCAGCATGGTGGTGGGGAAAGTGAACTACTCCTTACCGTATTATCCCTCCATTCCTGCCGCAAGGAAGGCAGGGAGAGGCAGGGCGCCCTTTCCCCTGTACTCGCTAGAGAATGATTACCCCCACGACACAATACATTGAATTTCTTGTTTCTAAACGAGGTTGAGTATACTTTTTTCTCGACCTCAGTCTAAAAGGGCTATACTTTGTTTTCCGCATTTTATGTCACTTGACGAGGTCAAGCAACACATCTATTACTCGATCCCTAGTTGAGTGGTTTACATCTATTTATTTTTTTATTATTTGAAACATCTGTGTAATGAAACACCTTTCATAATGCAAGAGGACCTTTCACTAGTAGAAAGATCAAGGAGGGACACAAAGGATTTGTGGTGGAGGCCCTCCGCAATGGGTGGCCATACAAGTCCCCATTGATGTCAAAATCCATGACCATAAGGTTAACTAGTTTGACTGTCGTCTTAATTAAGTGAAACACTTCTATTGTAGTTGCAAGACAAGTTCGACAACACCTTGGATATAACCATTCATAAATATCAATGGCCCACGCACGAGTCTCAATCAAAATTTTGTGACCGAAGAAGCCCTAACAAATTCTGTTCAAGAATTTTCGCCAAGATCATTAAATCCATTCTCAGCGATTTTGAGAAGATCTTGATAAGCAAAAATGGCCTTCAACCATCGAAATGGTTAAATATTAGGTTGCATTTATTGTTCACTACTGCTACGCCTTCGAATGAGACATCACATTTGAAATGACATCTTACTATCATTCATTCCTCATTGGTCTGGCCTTGAAAGTTTAGTCATTTTTCTTCTTTTTTCAGCCTGTCATTATGGCAACTACCAGTAAAGAAGAAAATTATGCTTCTATCAATTCTCATACAAATTTCAAAGACGATTTTTCAAAAGTCTCAATCAAAGGTTCACAATAGAATTTGTGGCTGAGAAATCCCAAACGAATTCCATTTCAGATTTTTCTAATAATAGTTTTGACGTTTCTGATTCAATTTTTGTTTTAAGTGTAGATATCTTGTGTAGGATACTTAAGTAAATGTGAAAATTACCATTTAAGATTAAAAATTATGAGAGCCCCAATCTATAATTACAAATCATTAACTAAAATAACAAAAATGAGATGAGTTCCATTTATTACATAGATCATAGATGGAAAAAAATTGGTAAAATAATTAATTCCTTTTTACAGTAAATTCTTTTTTGGCCTTTTTACAGTTTTTTGCGTGAATGGCACCAGTTAATTATAGTCTTT